TTTTTTAGAATAAAACAAACTCATTTGTCCATGGTCCATGTGATCTTTTTACTATGTTGATAGATTTCATTTTTATTTATTTATTTTATGTGTATGGGTGTTTTGTCTGCATGCGTATCTATTCATGCGGATACATGCCTGGAGCTCTCAGAGGCCCTGGGACTGGTTACAGATGGTTGTGAGCTGCCATGGTGGTGTTGGGAATTGACACTGAGTTCATTGGAAGAGCAATAGCTCTTCACAGTTGAAGTGCCCATTAGTTCCCTAGTTTGTTAATTTTTAAAAAGATTCTTTTTTTCCACCTACATTCATGATGGACTTTAGTCTGTACGTTTTCCTGGAAGTCTTTGTTTGCTGGTCTTTGGTTTGACTTCAGTATCGTGATAATGCTGGCTTCACGGAGTAAAATAGAAATAGTGCTGTTATTCCAAAATTTATGGAAGAATTTAAGAATTTAAATCACTCTTGAACCCAGTATCTCTGAAGTCTATAGTTATTATAACTATAAAGCCCTATATTATCAATAGATAACAGGTATCTCAGAACCTACAAAGCAAGCAGTAGGCTCTAAATAGTTAAATTTTTCTTTGTGGCTACATTGAAGGCAGTTGTATTTGTAACAATTTTGAGTTCATCCTGAGTGACTTGAGCTAAATCTCAGTGAAGAAGGTACAATGGCGAGAATCCTCTGTAGCTCTGGCCTGCTCTCTCATCTGTCTATATTTATAACGATGTTTTCACTTCAGTTATGGTGTAATTCAGCCTCAGAATTTTCTTCTGTTTTTGTAATTTCTACCTTTCATTGGTACTCTCTGTTTGATGAGACATCTCTGTTTGGCTTTGTGAACTTTAGTTCTTTCTTTTTTGTTTTTGTTGGACTGAGCCTTGAACTCCAGGCTACACGTGTACTGGGCCAGTGTTCTGCCACTGAGGCTATCCCAAGGTCTCCTTTTTTCTCTAGTTTTTTTTTTAACCTTCATTGTTGATTTATTGTGTTTGTCTAGGAAGTCTGGTATCTTAGGCTTCATGTGCAGTTTCAAATGACTTTTCCCTGTTAATGGGCCTTCTCGTTCTGTCTCTCATTTGTGCATATGCATTTTATCTCATAGAATATATTTGATTGTGTGTCATATTTAAACTAGACAGTTTGAGTGTTCCAGTATGGCTGCCTGGGGAATTAGATTTTTCTCTTTAGGATACATTTCTGCTGCTTGTGCTTGCCAAGTTTGTCATTGGCTATTCCAAAGCTTGAAGTCACTGCTCCATGCTGTCTGTAGCCTGAGGGCTCTGCTTAGGTTACTCATTTGGTAGTCATGTGACACAGATTGCCTTAATGCTGGAAATTGGCTGCCTTTTTTCCTTGGATAATATGAAGCACTTACTAGTTTATGAAATTTTAATAGAATTGATGCTGACAGTCTTATCAGTCTTTGGGAGCACATAGACTTTTGGACTGACCTTTTCTATCATGTTTGCTAACTATCTCGTTCTTCTGATTAACCCTTTATCAAGGAAGATATCAGAGGAATATTGGAAATAATTGTAAATTGAAGGAAATGAAAGCCAATACAGGAATCATTATGGGATATAGCTGAAGCAGATGGAAGGAATTTACAGCATTAAGTGCATATGTGTTATAAAGTGGGTTTCATGAACTTAGCCTGGGGCAAGGCAAATCTGCTGCCAGCTTTTATAAAGTTTTATTGGCACACAACCTTGCAAAAAATGTGTGTACTAGGCTGTGTGCCAATAAAACTTACTTTTCTTTTGTGGTTTGAAAGATGGAGTTTCTGCCAGAGTTGTAGATCTGGGCTGCTGTGTAGTTTTGTGTGACTGGGATTGCCTTTGTGATTAATTTTGTTTTAAATAATGACTCCACAGGACTCAAGTCTCTGGGCCACAGAGTTCTCTCTGGTTCTGTGGCTTAGAAACATGTTCCTTTTGGAGTTTTAAGATTCTGCATAGCTGTCATGTTGCAGCTCTGCCACACAGGCAGCATTGGGGACTGAGCAGTAGGGGTAAAGGAGAAGAGATGAAGAATAGCAAGCAGAAGAGTGAACATTCTTCTGGCAGAGGCATATTTTTTTGATCCTCTCTCTGGAAAGATGATGGTCTGTTCAGTGTATGTTGTGTCTGCTGTGCAGGTCTCTGCTTTCATTTCCAAGCAGGAGACCAACAAAACAAGCAGAAACACAGTTCAAGTTCTGGCCGGTCTTCGTATTTTTGCTTCCTTCCCCATTCCACTTATTATTAAATTGTAGATCTTGAGGCATTTGTTCTTACTATGCTGTCAGTAGGTTCTGCTAACAATCTCGTGCTTCTGAATAACATTCATCAAGGAAGATGGTGCAGAAATATTCGAACTATTGTGCGTTGAAGGAAATGAAACCAATACAGAAACTATTACGGGGGTGAAAGTAAAGTGGATTGGAGGGAACTCCAGCTTGTGTCTAGGTCCTGCGTGTGAGCAGTGCAGGCAGGCCTTACTCCATCTTTATGGGGATTGGAGCCACGTCGACTAGGACTTTCTTATGCATACTCTGTACTTCCTGTTATACCCTCTGTGGAACAGGAAACACTTGTAATTTTCTCCAGGCTCAAGGTTTATAGCATTGACTGGGAGATCAACAACTCTTGGATGTATAGAGGTAAGTTATTTTAAGACAGAGCAATGACAGAAATGATTATAGACTTCTTACTCTGCTTCTGACAACATTGTAGAAACTGTACCTGGGCTTTTACATTCTTATAGTCACCCTATTAGGTCTAAGTACACAGAGGTTATGCAGTTTGGTAAGGCTGTGACTGAAGCCTAAAGACAAGGTAATTGTGTTAGAAGTCTGTTCTCTCAAAAACTTTAACTTACATTTGTAGAAAGTTTTGTGTATGAGCTAAAGTAGAAAATAGTAAAATAAACCCTTTGGATGTTGTTCACCAAGCTTCAACTATATTCTGCTTTTCTTATTTTAACCTTTCAATGTTTTGACAAATTTCCAATGAAGAATGTAAAAGCAAATTTTAGATTATGATTTCTCATAAGCACTAGAATAAATATAAAGATAATAATAAAAATATCAATATAATCATAATATAGAAAGTAAAATCTAATTTCCTTTATATCAGCTAACATCTGTTTGGCGTCCAGTTTTCTCTCATTGTCTCAGAAGTGTTTCTCACAGTTAGTTTAGTTCAGTCTCTCAGTCTGCCTATACACCATTACTTGATGACATGTCTCCACATCTTCAGATCTGCCTGGACCCAACCCTGTCTTCAATAGTCCTTTTGTGATAGGACTTAAAGTTGTTGTTTTTCTGAGATGATCATTTTATTTATTCCAGTCATAAGTTTTGTTTAAAGATTAAATATATTCATTTTACATCCCAATATAGCCCCCTCTTCTCTCTGTACCCCCTCACACCTCCCTCCATTTACTCCTCCCCTTCCTCTCTGAGAAGGAGGAGCCCAGCTCTGAGTATCCACCCGCCCCTACACATCAGGTCACCGAAGGACTAGGTGCATCCTCTTCCACTGAGGCCAGATAAAGGCGGCCCAGTCAGGGGAATGACATCCAAAGGCAAACACACCAGCGTCAGGGACAGCTTAAGTTAATTTAAAATAGGTTTTACTTCAGAGTAGTGTCATTTTTATTGCAATATTTAAGATTTATAATGTGTATTGGTATGGGATGATTTTAGATGTATAGAGAAAGTACAGAGGTAGAAAGGTTGCTCCACCCTGTACCCGGTATGTCCCTGTAAGTTTATATTCGTTCCTGAGGTTCCCTTGCCAACTATGGCGCCAGCACTGCCATACTCTAGTGATGACAAACTGACCCCTGTTGTGATTTGATCAGTCTCTTCACTAATGTTCTTTTCTATTTTCTGTCCTCGAATCCAGGTCAGGATTTGCACTGGTAGTTATTCTGTGTAACCTTTTCTGGACTAAAACTGTTATATATTCCTGTTTTTCATGACCTTGAGCTTCTGGAATCTGCAGCAGGTGTTTTGTGGATGTTCAGTATTAGATATATATCTTTCAGAGTTGGAAGGGTTATGAGTTTCTAGAGATAGGCCATGAGGGCTTTTCTCTATCTCTTTCCTCCCTAGTCTTTCCTGTGATGTAAGCAGAAGCATTTTTCATTTGTTTTTAGCTTGTTCTTGTGATTTTTTTTTTTTAACACACATTAGTATCATCCTGTTTCTTCCCTTCCTACTAAAAGGTAATGCCAGTTTCTGTCCTTAACCTGTGTCACCAGACTTTTTGTTCTGTAGGACAGTCTCTGAGTTTTTGGTGGTGTCCACTTGTATTCAATATAATTTAAGCCGTTCAGTTTTGTTATATTGCTGTGTCTTGGTAAACACCTAGCAAATCCATGATTCTTTTTGTAATTCACAGATATTTTCCAATTTGTCCCTGGATGAGCGCTGCCTTTCCGCATCATTGGTTTGCAAGTACTGGCGTGACCTTTGTCTGGATTTCCAGTTTTGGAAGCAGCTGGACCTTAGTAGTCGTCAGCAGGTATGGAGTTGCATTCTATTAAAAATCCTTATTTGTTCCACTTGGTTGAAGAAAAAAATCTTTATTCTCCCTTCAGATGACTGTAATCTACAATTTTATGTTTTCTTTTTTAAAGAAGTAATTTTCCAAAAAATGTAATGCTACATGCACACACACATGCTCCCTTGCATGCACACACACGTTTGCATATTTAGTGTGGATATACTTGGTATATTTATGAGTTCATGTGAAAGCGAGGCTCCGCAGTGGAAAGGGTAGTTTCGAATGTAAACTGGTAATGGTGAAATTCACTTTTCTTTGTTTCAGTCCTTTCTGTTTCTCCCTTTATCATCATTTCAAAACCACAGGCCTTTTCATTTAGGGAGCTGACATCCTAAGAGTTTAACAGCGGAGAATGTTGGCACTTATGCTTCTGGGCCATGTGATGTACTGTTGCACAGACATTACACGTAAGAATTCATTTCTCTCTGCAACACTAATAAGAGGTGCTGCTGTTTCCTGTTTTATGGATAAAGAAACAGAAGTAAATTGGGTGAAAATAACTTTTTGACAAAAACTTTTGGATGTTTTCCAATTTCCTAGTTGTTCAGTTGGTCAGTAAACTTACATGGTGCCATAGATTAGGAAAAAAGGATGGAATTTGTAGTGCTGATTGTAGGCAGTTTATTAGTGTTCTTGGTTTCATTCTTTAAAGGATATTTAAAGTTGGTGTTTACATTAGAAATATATGAAAACATCTGATAAAGATACAATTTTATTAGAATCCTAAACCGCTGTTGAGTCCCTCATGGCATGTTACCAGTGCTGCATTGGAAGGTACTTGATGACAAGTTTTCTTAAAAGAAAGCAGATTTGTAACATTTGCTTATTACTAGGGTGTGAATAACCCACCATGGCTCATTGCAGGCTACTTGTGTCATGTTATCACGTGCAGATTACAAAGACGTGCATGTAATAGGCTTTTGTGAATTGGTACATGCAGGGTCTGCCGTATACCAGTAGTTTGCATGTGACTCTCACTTTTTAAACAGAGTAGCAAGGTCCAGAACATTCACCTGTAAGCCTTTCTGTCTTGTCTCCTCATTGGTAATAGGCTAAAATATCTGCAGAGCTAGGTACTTACTTGCTCATGTTCCTGAACTGTATGTACAGCAAGCATGGTGCAAATGGAGGTAAGGCAACTGGCAGTGACCCTTGGCCTCCTGCTGACTCAGCTGTTTCCTCTCAGTTTACACTGAGCTGTTTTCCTCTTTCTGGTGGTGAGATCTGGAGGGGAGGAAAAGGAGGAGCTAGTGCTCCTTCCAGCAGACACAGAGGTGCTCCCTCTGTGGCTCTCACTACCAGTGCTCCTTTCAGCAGACATGGAGGTGCTCCCTCTATGGCTCTTACTCCAGTACACTCAACAGTTTCCTTTTTGCCTGTTAACTTTTATCTGCATTTTCTCCTTCTCCTGCTTTTGTCACAGGATTGGAGTAACATTAATTGATTTCTCTTATGAAAACTGGTGATGGGCTGGGAACATGCATGGCTGGTATTTTGTTTACACATTCAGATGGCTGTGTGAGTGAGTTTCTTTTTTCTTTTTTTTTTTCTTTTTTCTTTTTTTTTTTTTTTTTTGGTTTTTCGAGACAGGGTTTCTCTGTGTAGTTCTGGCTGTCCTGGAACTCACTCTGTAGACCAGGCTGGCCTCGAACTCAGAAATCCGCCTGCCTCTGCCTCCCAAGTGCTGGGATTAAAGGCGTGCGCCACCCGGTGTGAGTTTCTTGATAGATGAAAGATGATAGGCTTACTTGTATTTAGCGCTGAGTCTTATGAGTCAAGTTTTCTGACAAGGTGTTTCTGTCACCTCTGCTGCTCCATAGGGGGGATGCGTTTTCTCAGCTGGGTCTTACCTGTGGGGTAGTACTGTGTTAGCAGGAAAGCTTGCAGTTTACATATTGTGCTGTCATCTGATAACAAGTATGAACATTCAGTTCATGGAACTTGGAATATAGTTCAGAATCTTGCCGGCTATGCACAAGGCCCTATGGTTAGTTCTTAGCACCAAAACAAACAAACAAACAAACAAACAAACAAACGGTCAAACACACCACACCAAACCAAACCAAACACCAATTCATGCATCATACTGATTTATATGTAATATTAGCTTAGTTAAAAAACATTTTAAATCTCAATATAGATGTGATTATAGTTTTTGGTGAGCATGAAGCTTTAATTAAAGCAAGCCCCCAAATGATTGATTTCTAGGGTTTAGGGAAAAGAAGCATGTGTATTCTCCTTGTTTCCTGAGATCTCTTGAACTAAATACATGGAGCTTATGCCACACTAGCAGACAGTTTTCTATGAGAAATCATGTGCCAGGAGTCAGTGCAGGCCACAAAGTTAGGGGTCCAGTAGCCCTGCCTCACCACTTGGAAACTGTAGGGCCAGCCTTTCTACATCAGAAGCTAAAAGTTCAGGAGCTTCACTTTCTACCCCGAACTTGAACTCAGGAAAATATTTTACTTATGTTTCCTGGTTTATAATTAAGGCTATGGCCAGAAACATTCACATGGAAAAGTTACACGTCAACATAGGGATGGGTCTTCCAGTGTTCAGCACTTCAGGGCTAATTGCTAACTTTTTGGTGAGAGTGCGTATAACCTAATCTCCATTGAGCATTGTCTTCCCCTCCGAGGTTAGAGGTGCGCTAGTTCTACTCTCACTTACTGACTGGATGATGTGTGTTTGTTTTTGTTTTTCTTACTGGAGTTTGAACCAGGCCCTCTTACATGCCAGGCGAGTGCTCTTGCACTGAGGGAGAGCTCTAGCCTTGCCTGTTTAGTCTCTGTAGTAACCAGACTTCCTTCTGAACAGTCAAGGAGCCCACTCTTGAGTTACCTTATTACCATATTCAGGAAGGGTAAAGGGGCTTGTCATGGATGACCAATGACACTGACACTCAACATTACAAGGGCTTTAGGGAGTTTATAGCAGAAACTGAGAACAGAAGACAAGTATGTATATATTTTATTGTACCACGGTTCTTATTATTACTTGTTGGTAGAAATTAAGTAATACAAAATAGTTTTCCACATCCAGCAAAGTTTAATTTATTATATCTTCTCTTGTAGGTTACTGATGAATTATTGGAAAAAATTGCCTCCAGAAGTCAGAATATAATTGAAATCAACATTTCTGATTGTCGCAGTATGTCTGATACTGGCGTATGTGTTCTAGCATTTAAGTGTCCTGGACTTCTTAGGTATACAGCCTACAGGTGTAAGCAGCTTTCTGACACCTCTATCATTGCAGTTGCTTCTCACTGTCCCTTACTGCAGAAAGTCCACGTAGGCAACCAGGACAAACTCACTGATGAAGGACTCAAGCAGGTAAATCCACGGCGTTTACTGAGAGGTTTCACACACTGATTAAATAACTGTTGCAGCAACATTCTTGCGTTTGTTAATGGAGACTAAAATGAACTGTGATGTCTAAGTAAAAATTACTAATTGAGGAGGCTAGCGAGCTCCAGTGCTGTGGTGATGAGCAGACACGTCAGCTTTGCTGTGCTTTACAGTGAGAGCCTCATCTCTGTGGCCAGCCATTTTGTTAGCTCTCGATTTTGTTAGCTCTTGTTTTTTTTTTATTTATTCAGTTTTTTAAGTTGGTCTATACCATACTGTGCTTTAAGTTACAGTATTCAGTTTAGGTCAGGATACGGTTTTTAAAGTTATTTAAAAGCTCAATTTTCCTTTCATGTTATCAGATGACAGATTTTAAACATGGTTTTAAGATATAAATGGAGGTTCAAATTGAAGAGCATAAAATAAGGAAAAAGTGTTGATTATTTATATTTGTCTTAGTAACTGGAATTAAATCAGTAATACCCTCCCTTTTGACCCTCGTCCTTTGGAATAGCAGTTACCATCTCCTGACAGCCGCTTACTCATGTGTGGAGGGAGGCTCCTCCAGCTGAGTCATTATATCTGGATTTATTGAAAGTTGAGTATGAGGAGAGACTGTCTTTCTTGAGTAGAGTCTGCCGGCTGTGACCATTCACTGTGTTAGTCAAGGATGCCGTCCACGCAGAGGGCAGCCCGTGCCAGGCCCGCTGTCAAGTGACACTCCTCTTTATTTTTGTATTTCTTGACTAGCTTCTTCTTTTACAGATAAAGCATTGTATAACATTCTTGAAATCAATTTACTCTTTTCTAGAGAAGTATACATTTTTATGGATATACTATGATTTTACTTATGATGAGTTTTTAGCATTTCATATTTCACAGCAAAATATTTTTTTTAAATTCAATGTATTAACAGCTGGATTATCTTTATTTATTAAAGTGTCATGTAACACAGTAGGCATCATATTAGCAGACTAGTGGGGATGTTCTCAGTACTTGGGAAAAATAAAATCATAGTTGTAATTGAAGTAGACAGAAATTATCAAGTTTTATAAGGGACAGAATATGTTGTCCCAATCAAATATTATAAACTTTACAACTTTGAAACTGAGAATGTAAATCTCTCTATTATGTCAGTCATTATTAGAGTTAGTTAACATTTCAATGTTTTAGTTACTTATGGGTTTTGAATTATGAAGTTGCTCTATACAATGCAGTATTCTAATAGAGATAGGAAAGCTGTCTGAGTAGTTTCTCTGTAGCTAATTTTGTTCTTCAGTGATCAAAAAGATTCTCATTGTAGCATAGGGCACCATTTTCCTGTTCTTAACTGTTTTGCAGCAAGGTGTGGCAAAAATTGGGCTGTTAGATTGCTCTGACTGACTGAGTAGTGTCTTGGGTATTATACAAAGAGAATGGAATATATATATATATATAAAATGAGGTTTGTGTGCACTGTGTATTCATGTTTCCTAATTTATTCTATATTACTGTGTTAAATAAATGTTGCCCATGACCCACTTAGTGAATTCATTTTATCATCTATTGATACTTTATAAATTGTACTATGGAGTGTATTATGGTTTTGAGTGTATTATGGTTTTAGTAAACCAATCCTTTTATGATTGACGGCTTTCTGTGATTATTATTTTTCTTGAACTCAGTTATTTAGCAGTTCCTTGTTGACTTTGTTGACTCACTGTCCCCCTTTTGACAATAAATGACAAATGGTGCAGAAATGAATGCATGCATTTTATTGGTCATACCTTTGAAATGTCTTTCCTTCAGAAGTGCTACAGTTTGAACTGGATTTAGCAAACACCAAATGTATATGTTTTTTGAGTTAGAATTATTTTTTACAAAACAACTACTTAGAGCATTTCAATTTAAAGCTGTAACAGGTCAAGATTATAGTATTTAAAGTATTGAATTCTTCTTGATAATGTTTCTCCGGCTATAGTGACTTCCTTAAAATTTAGTTGTTTAAAAAGTTTTTTCTTCATTTAGTTTGTGTGCGTGCGTGAATGTACACATGTGTCTCACCTTGAGTTCCAGGGTTAAAACAGGAATACAGTCTTGGTGGCTGGTGCCTGTACCACTGGGCCATCTTGCTGCCCTTTTCCTTCTAAAATTAACTGATTTGTGTGTTTGCACACGTTCCGTGGTGCACAGGAGTCAGGTCTCTCTCCTCTGATGTGGGTCCCAGAGATTGAATTCAGGCTACCAGGCTTACAGCAATGGCCTTTACCCACCGAGTTATCTTGCAAAAAGTTGGACCGTTTTGACTAAACATTATCTTACTTTTAGAATATCACTTTTTGAATATTGATATTTCTTTCCCCATAGAAATCATACTATATAATTTTATCTATGGAAACATTTTACCATTATGTTGTATCTCTGTTGTATTTGTCTAATAAGACTATGATCATGAATCTTGGGAAAAGAACAATTTATTTAGAATAATAGCTCTTTTAGTTTTCTTAATATTTTATCATCTAGCATTTGTATTCAGGCAATTGTTAGTAGTCAACTCATTAAAATCAGTTTAAGAAATTATATCCATTGTTACTATTATATGTGACAGTCCCAACTTAGTTTGAATCATGGAACTCAGATGTTTCTGAAAATAAACCATTGTAGTTGTTTTCAGATAATTAAAAACTGAATTATCAGTAAATTTCGATCTGGCTGTGGTATGAGTTTTTTAGTTTTCAAAGGATAAATGTTTAGGCTAGAGCAGTAGCTCAGTGTTTCTAGGCTACATAGGGCTCTGGGTTTGCTCTCCAGCATTGCCCAAGCAAACAGGGAGCAAACAGACAGAAATGAACCTACAGTCAGTCAACAAACCCCAGTCCATGAGAGGAAGTTTTGAACAGCAGTCTCTAAAGCTCTGTTGAAAGGAGACAGAGGTGCCAGATCCACTGGAAACAGCCATAGGCCCGCAGCAGGCAGTGCACAGGAGATCAGCAGTGCATTGGAGTTAGAGGCTAACCTGGCTTAACAAAGCGAGGTCCAGGCCAGCCAGAGCAACATTACAAATGAAGTCACGCAATCAAAAAGCAATGCAGACCAACATCTCAAAAGCAAAAACTAAGAAAAGACCAACTAAAAGTAGAAGAAATACAGTGTTGTTGCCTTAAAAAAAACCAATTTGTGTTCCAATTTGTGTTCCAGTCTCTTCCTAGGTTGGCAATATTCGTAAAGATAGCAGTTGCATTCCGAGTGCAGGGCACAGGTCCCTGGTCGCAGAGGGAATAGAGTGGATCTTTTTTGCAAGTTACTTTGTGTGTGTGTGTGTGTGTGTGTATGTGTGTATCAAAACTATTGGGGAGTTACTATTGGGGTGATGCAGGCATCATGTAATATATTACCAACATTTTTATGATATAAAAGCAGTAGACATAGATTGAAAATATTTTAAGGCAAATAAAAGAAAATCTTGTCGTTGCTATGTATAGCGTATGAGGAGTCACACAGTGCCTTCCTGAGGCTGAGGATGAAGTGTCTCAGGGAAAGGATTTACGTTTAGCTTTTAGCATCCATCTGAAGTTAGGACTGTCAGGATTGTTGTATAGAGGAAAATGCAGAAAGTCTTGTGCACCCCAATCAGAACACATTTAGGAAAACAGAAGAGCATCAGTTTTCATCACTGGTTGTCTTTTACACAGCGATACCCTGTCTCATAAATTACCCTCCCCCCATAACATGAGGGACCAACTAAAAGTAGAATAAATACAGCAAATAAGGAAGGCGTCACAAGAAGAACGTTCAGGTCATAGCGAACACAGAACCAGGTCGCACAGCCTTTGCAGAGAGTTGTGTGTGTAAGGTTTTGTTTTGCTTTTAAACTTCTGGTATTTACTGAAATGTCTTTTGAAATCCAAGCTGCCAAAGCAGTAAATCCTAGGGACTGGAAGAGGGTCTTGATTTCTCACGTCAGCACATTATAATAATTTACCTAACTTATTTACTTACTTTTATTTCATGTGTGTGTGTGTGTGTGCTTGAGTGGATAGACATGTGTAACGGAGTTTGTGAAGAATGAAGGAGGGCGTCAGATCCCCTGGACCTGGATTGACAGGTGGCCGTGAGCTGCCAGATGTGGATGCTAACATCTGAAGCCAAGCCCTCTGCAACAGCAGCAACTGACCCTAACCACTGAGCCATCTCTGAAGCCCTTCTAACAACCAGTTTTGGACTCAAGTCACAAGGCATGCAAGGATAAAAAATATGGCACACTAGAGGATTTGAAATAGAATCCTTTTTTGAGGGAACCTAAGCAATGGACTTCTGAGAATAATATTTAACATCAGTTTTTTTTTTAAAAAAAAAAAAAGAAAAAAACTATCCTCAAAAAGCTGAAAAAAATCATTCACAAACCTTCCAGGAAAGTTACTGGAAACCAAATAGGGAAAGTCATAAAATCCTCCGATATTTGGAAATTGGATGAACAGTCTACTCATGTGGCTCCTAGAAAAAATGGCAGAGGAATTGAGAGGGTACCTTGGCATGAGGAAGAGTAAACTACCACAGAGCAAAAAGAGGGTCATCTGTTGTAGAGCTTATGGGTACAGTGGTGAACCTCAAAAGCGGGTAGCCGTGTGCATCTGAAGGCTCTCGTAGTGAGCTCGTTTGTTTTCCTCAGGTATTCTGACATTTTGTTTTAAGTGCACATTAAGGACTGCTGTGTCTTTGTGGATTACTTGCTGCTGCCTTTTGACTCCTGTATGCTCAAGTAAACAAGTATATTTAGTTAAAGCCACAAACTCTGCTTAAAGTGTGCTCTTCAGGGAGTGTGGCTTCTGCTTCTGTTGGAAGGTTAGCATTAGCCAGAGTGCCTGAGGCATTTGCTCTCCGTCTATCTGTTTGTTTCTAAGGATTTCTTGTAGCGTGTAGCTGGATGCTTGTACTTTGCTCCGTTCTGACTGTCTCTGACTTTTATTTGGTGCTCTCTCGTCACCCAGATGCAAACATTTTACTCT